TCCATTAAACGAGCCGCAACATTATGGCTTTTCATGCGGCATTTCTACTCAGGAAGAGATGTACAGTATAAGATGGAAAGTCCATCACACGAGAACTCCAGCACTTCACATCGGTCGAGCTTTGAGGCCTGAGGGGTTAGAGCCAAGTGCCTAGCGATTGCAAAATTTGTCCACGGCATCTCAATGGTGCACTGACCGCAGTCAGAGTTGGCTTTACGTCATTTGGAATGAGCAGGTGGTGTGATTTTCGTAATTAATAGCGTGTGCCTTGAGAGAGCATGAGAAAGCCAGGTAAGAAGCATATTGTTTAAATGTATGTTCCCAGAGTCGCTATGGTCCCCGCGATGTTCTCATGTTGGGCTGGCTCCTGGTGGTTGCCAGTGAGTCATCCAAGCAGGTTGTGCCGGGAACATGTCCGGCAGCTGTCTTACAGCGAAAGATTGCTCGCAGATGGCTACACANNGGCGCATTGGTGCACTGAAACACAACAAAAGGTTGCTCCGGTTTGGATTGAATGCCAAGAGACAACGGGATGTGCCGACGGATTTGGGCGCAGTTCTGGCAGTCTCAGCATGCTCCAGTCACACGTGTGCAGTGAGATCAGATGGGCAGTTGGTCTGCTTTGGGCGCATTGGGCGCGACGCCGGGCCGTTGTGCGCTGTGCCGACGAATTTGGGAGCAGTCGTGGCAGTCTCAGCAGGCGTCGGTCACACGTGTGCAGTGAGATCAGATGGTCAGTTGGTTTGCTTTGGAGGTAACGCCTACAAACAATGCGATGTGCCGACGGATTTGGGAGCAGTTGTGGCAGTCTCAGCAGGCTTCGGTCACACGTGTGCCCTGAGATCAGATGGTCAGTTGGTCTGCTTTGGATGGAGCAGGGACGGACAATGCGATGTGCCGACGGATTTGGGAGCAGTTGTGGCGGTCTCAGCAGGCTCCCTTCACACGTGTGCAGTGAGATCAGATGGTCAGTTGGTCTGCTTTGGAGACAACTTCGCCGGACAATGCGATGTGCCGACGGATTTGGGAGCAGTTGTGGCAGTCTCAGCAGGCGACCTTCACACGTGTGCAGTGAGATCAGATGGTCAGTTGGTCTGCTTTGGAGCTAAACGCGACGGACAATGCCATGTGCCGACGGATTTGGGAGCAGTTGTGGCAGTCTCAGCAGGCGGTCGTCACACGTGTGCAGTGAGATCAGATGGTCAGTTGGTCTGCTTTGGATTGAGCAGCTTCGGACAGCGCGATGTGCCGACGGATTTGGGAGCAGTTGTGGCAGTCTCAGCAGGCTTCTGTCACACGTGTGCCCTGAGATCAGATGGTCACTTGGTCTGCTTTGGAATGAGCAACTTCGGACAGTGCGATGTGCCGACGGGTCTTTGACCAATTGTAGCATCCTCAGCAGGCGATAGTCACGCGGGGCAGTGAAATCCGCCGGTCAGCTGGTCTTCTTCAGATGGAATGCTCAGGCAGCCCAAGCCCGAAACCCTGCACTCTTAAACCCTAATCCATCCTAAACCCTATAAAGCCTAAACCCTAAACTTTACGACCATCATCGACCTGGGTATGTGCCGCCGGGCTTTCCTTGCCGTCATTGAGAACTGACAATCCTTAGAAGCCAGACTTCTCGTGGTTTTTGGAGTTTCAGGTTGAGGGATTAACGTCGCCACCGCATTCTTCGACCATCCAGCATTTTCGGAAGACAGCATTGTCTTGAAATGCAGCGCTTAGGAGCTGAAAAAAGTGTTTATGAATTTCTGCATATGAGCATACAAGAGCATCCCCCTCTAACGACTTGTCCCTAGTCTCTATGCTAGCGCTCACTAGTATGATTTAGGAGAGCTTATTGGGTTTCTAGACGAGATGAGCCCTTGATGATACGTAGGGCATAACCCTGAAAACACCAGTTGTTGTTTCCCCTGGTATTTAATAACATATACGCACTTGGGGTTAGGGCCATTTGAGGTCTTCTACCCTAAACCTACATTTAGGGCTTAGGGTTTAGGGGTTTAGGGTTTAGGTTTTAGGGTTTAGGGGTTTACAGTAGAAGCCCAAAAGTTGGAAACCCAATAGACTCAATCCTTAAGAGTAATGTATAAGGAATCCCAGCACTATTTGTCCTCAATCCGGTTTCCAACTTTTTGGGGTTTAGAGTAGGGCTTAGGGTCTAAAATTTGGGACTGGAGCTTTCACGTTCATTCCTTAGGTTACAGTGCTGAGGCAGGCCATGCAAGAATCCTTCTTTGCGGTCTCTTGCACACACACACATAAACAAATAAATAAATAAATAAATATAATACACATTAAACATAAACCATATAGTTTTTATGCATCTATATATCTATATATGCTTCATGTACATATACATGTTTACATCATCATGATTTCCTTCCGCAGCTGTGTAAAAAAAACATATATATATATACACACGCTTATACACATACTTATGTGTGTACACACATATATATATATACATATATATATATATATACATATATATATATATGTATGCAGAGAGAGAGAGAGAGAGTGTTCTAGCATACACCCTTTGAGGTCAGAGTTCAACGAGTACGGCTGCTGTTTTTCCACGGTTAAAGGTCCTTGCTGTTGTCGGTGGCTTTGGGCGACCTACGTCCTATCAATCAGGCTCGTACCAAAACCGTCCCTTAAGAAAGCAATCACAGAGGCGCTGGCAAAACCAACATCGCCGTGCTGACCATCTTGCGCCTCATCGGCCAGCACATGGACGCTGCAGGCGGAGCGCAGGGGGGTAGGGTTGAGGGTTTCTTGGTGTCCAATTCAGGGTGCCTACAGGGGATCTGTTATATGAAAAGAGCAGGGTATGACCCTACAGGTGGAGTTTTGTGGGAACAACAAGCAAGCATGGCATTAATGGTGTGTCTTCGGTTCAGAGGAACTTCAGACCTGCCGAAATCCCCTAATTACGGAACATTTTTAGGGATCCGATAATATTTCAAGCTTATTCCTTAATTAACCCCAAGGGTCCAAGTGCCCAATAATCATAACTCTCCGAGATATTCACCTAGATAACTACCATCCGCAACCAAAGTACCTCATTATTGTATCCTTTGCACCCTTAGGGCAAAGGGATTTTGGAAGGTCTACTGTAGGCAGTACGAGGAGCAGGCGATTGAGATAAGCGTCGAGGCCTTCTTCGCGGCATTGTTCTGTCCAGATCGCGGCTTGCAGCAGTTGAAGGTTTAGGGTTTAGGGGTTTAGGGTTTAGGGGTTTAGGGGTTTAGGGGTTAAGGGTCTAGGGAAACCTCGTTCATTGCACAAGTAGTTGTAGTATAGTAGAGTACGGTAGGGTATAAGGTAGTATTGTTTTCGACAATACAGTACCGTATAGTTATAGTAATAGTTCCAGAAAAGTTATCGTATAGCAAGTGACTAGCTTGGCTGGGGTCTCACTTTTTTGATTAGTCTTGAAGCCAGACAGCCTAACCCCTAAACCCCTAAACTACTCACATGCGACTCGCGGAGTTAGCAACCGTAGCAGGAACACTACGATGATGAGGCTCATTCTAAACGGTACTGATGCATATGTAGCTTGTCGTATGATGTAAGGGCCTGTATTTGCTCGCTTAGTTTTCATCACATCCAGGCTGCAGATTTTTCCCGAAGATGTAAGATTGTATGAAAGCAGCGGCAAGGCCACATCAAACCCATGCCATACAGGGCCCAAGCTGGATCGCGTTTCTCCCTTCGGGCTGCTATCAAAGGCCGTCTTGGGGCTTAGGACTTGTGGTGCAGTGTTTGCGCCTCCTTTCAAGCTCTTGGCGATGCGGTATCTACTGTAGTAGAGGACCCTGCGTGGGTTTTTTTGGAACAGCTCATCTCGGATCCTGCCAGTGGAATCCCCTGAACTAACCCTAAACCCTAAACCCTCAGAAGCGCTAGAAACGAAGTCGTTCAGCTCTGAAGCTTCTAAACTCTGGCCCTTTGGTTTCGTTGCCGTAAGGTGGCATCGGCCGCGACTTCAAGGCAAGTTGCGATTCCTCTTCTGAAAGGGTGGAGGTACGTAGCAGGGGCTTCGTTTTCAGGGTGGAAGGGCCCAGTAGATGCACGGGGTCTTGTGAAGCATGGAGCATGCTTCGGACATTGCATACTTTACACCCTAAACCCTATAAACCCTACAAGCCCTATAAACCCTATAAGCCTACAAATCCTACAAACCCTATTTTGTAGGTTCTTACCTTAACCTACCAAAACCTACTCTTCTGTAGGTTCTTATTATAAACCCCTTATATGGACTTTTGTAGGGACCCTACAAAAGAAGTTAGGCTCTGGTGGGTTAAGGTAGACCCTGAGGGGTTTAGATCATCAGGCTTAGGGCCTTTTCTTGCTCCCCGAAGAGTATATTTAGGGTTTAGGGGTTTAGGATTTTAGGGTTTTGGGGCTTTAGGGTTTTAGGGTTTAGGGTTTAGGGTTTAGGGTTTTAGGGTTTATGGTTTAGGGCCTTAGGGCATTCTCCGGTCCCTGGCATGTAGCTCGATCATGCTAGCCCTAAGCCCTAAACCCTAAACTGGCCCTACAGTGCTGGTATATTATGTCTGCTCCTTACTTCGTGGCCTCGCCTAGCATCTGCAGCTGTTTAGGGCTTAGTTATCGGATCCTTAAGGGAGGGTGGTTCAAGCGGGGAGGGTCCCAGGGATCCTTAGGGAGCTTTGAGGAACCTAAGGGAGCCCTAGGAGAATTGGGGATTATTGGGATAAATACCCCTCTTAGACCCCCCTCCCTTAAGGATCCCATAACTTAGGGGGTTAGTAGGGGGGTTTAGGGTGAGTTTCAATGCTGCATGGCGGTCTTACGGCTTGCTTTTGGGATTTTGGCTTCCTTGGGTCTATAAAATCAAACACAAGAGAGCAGACAAGCAGCAACAGCATCCAGTATGCACCGTACCTCAAAAGCTGTGTGTTGTATAAATATTATATATATATAAATGCATACATACATACGTACATACATACACATATATGCATATATATATATATACACGTACATATACATATATATATACATACATACATACATACATACATACATACATACATATGTATATATATATATATAAATGTATGTATGCGCATATACATATATATGTGTTTATACTTGTATTTATATTTAAATGTATATTTTTAGTTGTATACATGCATGGATGCATGGACGCATGCATGTATGTATGTATGTATGTATGTATGTATGTATGTATGTATGTATGTATGTATGTATGTATGTATGTATGTAGTATGCGTATGATTACACATACAACTCCGAACTTTGAGGCTAAACCTTACAGGAGTTCATAAGTCAGCTCAGAGTCTGTGGACAAGCATGGCAGACAGGGGACTGAACTGCTCAAGCCCACTGCGCAAGTTAGTCTGCTGGGTCACATAGGGTCGAGGGTTTGGGGTTTAGGGCAGTTATCCTTCAGCATGGTGCCCAATAGACAATAACGAAGGAGACTCTTCCAGTGCGTCTTATCCTGCTTGTTTCTGGGTAGTTCTCTAAATTAGGGCTCCTGTTTAAATCCCCAATATAATACGGCACCCTTATAAGAAGGACCCAAAAGGGACCCTAATTTAGAAACCCTAAACCCAAACCCCTAAACCCTTAAACCCCTAAACCCCTAAACCCTACACCCAAAACTACCCACTCAGAAGAACCCCAAAAGGGACCCTAGTTTAAAACGCCTTAACCCATTGGGTTGGAAGCCAACCGACCTTTTCTTGCGGCCCTAAATGCATCGGTTTAGGGTTTAGGCTTTAGGCTTTAGGCTTCAGGGTTTAGGGTTTAGGATTTAGGGGTTTAGGGTTTAGGGTTTATATTTGGGGTCTCCTTCTTACAGCCGAGTATTAGGAAACTCGGTACCCTTATTCTTAAGAGGCTACTGGGGGACTAGCTAAACTCCAGACCTTTAAACCCCTAAACCCCTGAACCCTCAACCCTAAACCTTTACCCCCTGAACCCTAAACCTTTAAACCCCTAAAGCCTAAACTTTAAACCTGGAACCCCTAAACCCCAAGCCCTTGAACCTGAACCCTAAAGACCTATATAAGCTTTCAAAACCCTGACGGCCAGCAGACTCCTAGCAAAGGGGGGGACAACTGGTAGCATTGCTGCCTTACATTTTTTGGTTTCCCACACATAGCTATGTTTAGGATTTAGGGTTTAGGCTATATGTTCATAGTATAGCTTTTCAAAATCCAACACCCGAAACCCTATGACTCTGTGTGTAGAACCCTAAGCCCTAAACCCTGTGACTCTATGCCCTAAACCCTAAACCCCAAACCCTAAACCCCTAAACCCTAAACCCTAACCCGTTGTCTAACCCCTTCGAAATTCCCCAGCCAGGTCGTCTA